GCACAAGGTAAAATCGTATGCTGTAATTAGCACAGACCAAACAAATAGAGGTAATCTATGCATGGTAATTCCTGGGCCACTCATGTCAAAAATAGTCGTAATGAAATTGATAGCACCGAATATTGAGGAAACACCTGATACACCCAATAAAAAGAGATCATGAAAGACCAAAGCTGACCGCAAAATGACTTGTTAATGTAAAACTATAAGGAATCATGCCAATAAGATTACAAAATAACAAAAAAGTAAAAGTGACAAAGATGAAAGGAAAATATCGTTGTTTAACTACTAACCCCGACATTTTCAATTCCTAGGATAATAGGCCAAAAAACAAAAACAAAAATATGGGGTTGTAGGGTTTCAAAAACCCTAATTTTTTTATTTTTTTTGATGTCGTTAATGAGTTTTAAAAAATAAAAACCGAAAAAATAAAGTATTAAAATCAAAAGAAATGTAATAAAAATAAAGGAAACTTCTTTTTCTCTCATTTTTTTGGGATTACCGGTGGGATAATCATGGTGCACATGATTCTTTGATTCTTTTTTTTTCCCTACATATGCAAATATTAAAAAAAACAACAAAAGAAAAATATATAATGAAGAAAAAAAACAAAGCCATTTTCTTTTCCTTTTTCCTTGTTCTTTTAATTTTTTATAGACAAACAAACTGATTGATTGATTGATTAGAAAAAAAAAAAAAGAATGCGCTAGTTTGTGTGTGTGTGTATGTGTGTGTGTGTGTGTGTGTGTGTGTGTGTGTGTGCGCGTGTGGGTGTCTGTGTGTGTGTATGTGTGTATGTGCGCACTTGTGTCTGCATGTGTGTGTGTGCGTGTGTGTGTGTGTTCGTGTGCACGTGTGTGTGCGTGTTCGTGTGCACTTGTGTGTGTGTGTGTGTGTGTGTGCATGCGTCTGTGTGCGTGTGTGTTTGTGCGTGTGTGTGTGTGTGTGTGTGTGTGCTCGCGCGTGTGTGTGTGTGGGTGCGTGCATGTGTGTGTGTGTGTGTGCATGTGTGTCGGGGGGAGGGGAGGGAGGACCCCTCCCCCACCAATCAATCAATCAATCAATCAATCAATCGATCAATCAACCAATCAATCAATCAATCAAACAATCAATCAATCAATCAATTAATCAATCAATCAATATTAAAAAAAAAAAATTGTTTTTTTGGTTTTTTTTTTGCACACCAAAAATCACCCCCCCCCCGAAATTTATTTTTTTTTANTGAATTTTTTCACCCCCCCGAAATTTATTTTTTTTTACCTTTTTTTGTTCAAGGGGGTGGGGTCGGGGTTCCGGAACCCCAATCCGCAACCCCCTTCCCCACCCCCCTCTCCCCTCGGCCGAAGCGGGCCGCCAAAATCCGCAGCCGCTGCGGTCATGACCGCGGCCACAGGGGATTCGTAGCCGCGGGCTGTGTGCTTAGATCTGGCTGTTGCTTTGTTTGGACAGCCCACTCTCTCTGAGACTTGGCAATTTCTGATGCACCGCTGCCTGGCTGCTCATCTGGGGGTTGCCTTGGGTGGCCTTGGGCTGCCCAGCCAGTTGGTTGGAACTTGACAGTGTTTATCAATGTGCCCACCCACCAAAAGAGAAACAGGATTTTTGTAGGAAGGACTCCAAAAATTAATGGGTACTAATTTAAAGGAACCAAAAACAAGAACAATTTAATAATTTATGCCCTACTTGACAAAACCCCAAGGCTTTAACTGGCATGGAGTACATGCGTGAATTGCTATTAAGGAACCCTCTGGTCCGTCTCCCCTTTTTCCCCTCTTTCCTTCCCCTTTCCCTCTCTCCTTCCCCTACCCCTCCTTCACTAGTGACTACCAAAAGAGAAAAGGAAGAAAGGGGTACTACAACTTTTTTTTTTTGCTTTTTTTTTTTTGAACCTCCGGCCCAGGGTACAAGACAGAAGCACGGTAGAACATTATGATCGTAGTGATTTTTTGAAAGGTTTTTCGATCATTTTCGTCCATCATAATCTCTGATACGGTCATACCTGCAACTGCAAGATTTGTCTCTGTAGGGATTCCGAGGATGGCGAGCGTCCTTAAGACTTCGGGGTTCTGCGTGTGAATCTTCTGGTACTGGCCAACCCTCAGCTCCTGCACCATGGGTAAATGAAAGGGAGGGAGGGGGGGGCGTCGGGGGAAGAGGGAGATAAAGGCACATAAAACAAAAATGAGATGAAATTATTTAGACAAGGAAATCACGCGGGTAGATCAGACAGCAACAGGGAGAGAAAAACACACTAACACACGAAGAAACAGTTACTGCAAAAAAAAAGTAAGGGCCTAGCCACACCAATGTCGAAAAAGGTTTTTTTTTCAACATTTTCGCTTCCCCGCACAGCATGTCAAAATCCGAGATAACAGCGATTTCGTCAAAACGAACATTTTATATTTTTTGAACGAAATTGAAATTCTCATTTTTGAGCTGATTTAGGTGCAAAAACAATTACAAAGAGATGTTTGGTGTATGGGGTAAGGTGTAAGGTGTAAGGTGTAAGGGGTGAGGGGTAAGGGGTAAGGTGTAAGGGGCAAGGTGTGAGGTGAACGGGGTAAGGTGTAAGGGGTAAGGTGTAAGGGATATGTGGTAAATTGCAAGGGTCAAGTGACACAGCGTATCGAGTAATATTTGACACCTTATATACATTGTTTTTGTCACAAACCATCTTGTGACATCCGCCCCCCCTCCAAATCATATTACGGATTATCATATACACACTACTCACAAGTTACTGTGTCCAAAGCCATTCGACGACGTATCGCGGGTATATCATCAGCAGTGAAAAAGACAGGTGGAAGTTGACCCCGTGCCAACAGTGATGCGTACGTTAGCACAAAGACCCCGCACTCGTTCGTGTCGTGTTGCTTCGGAATACCCTCTACATTCCATATGTGATTGAATGGTTTCGTGTCCACCTCTTTGCCTTGTGATTTCGATCTTTCAAATATAAACTTTGCAAACCCGCCGGTCACCTTTCTCGCCAACTTCATGTCGGGGTCGAGGGAGTCGTAAAATTCGAATTTCCTCCTCCTGAAGTCAACCACGACAAGGGTCCAGTGGTTCTTGTGTTCAATATGAAATTGAGCAATAATCAAGTCCATATCACTTATGATAACGTCCTGACACCAGCTACTACCTCTCGACCTCTATATCTCATTTTATTGTCGAAAAGTTTGACGAACAAAAATGAGCTCAGTACCGATACTCTAGGAATGCGACCCTTTCCTTCTCTAATAACTATCTCATTCTCCGCGTCGCATTCTACGTGTTGTATTCTACACCAGTTGTCCAATGCTATGAGATTGAGGTAAAAGTTGATGACATTGTCGTTTAACTACTGACGTTCTACAGCGAGTAAAAGGAAATCGTTGCGAGTGAGTTGCAACACCTCGTTCATGTATACGTCGTGTGTGGTGGCTATGGGATACCTCTTCCCGTATTCTCGGATGATACGCGCCAAGGCTGCCGTCTCCCTCTTTGATAAAGACGAAGTTGCGAGATGCATTGTCCATCCTCTTTTGCACAATCTTGTATCAGTTATTGTCATTTGCACTGCACACCACAAACATGAGGAATACGACATTCACGCGGGCGGATGGGGAAAGGATGGTGAGTGCATGGCCAAATGCTTTGTGGGAGCTAATGCATGCAACGCATGTTTTCAATGTTTCTCTAATCTTTTACTTGCATTTACGACATTCACGTATACAATCAATCATTTATTCCTCACACCTTCGTCACCCTCATTGCATACGTCCGCATACACACATCCAAGTCGGAACGAGAGAGAGAGAGAGAGAGAGAGAGAGAGAGAGAGAGAGAGAGAGAGAG